TATTATTATTATTATAGAATAACAGAAATCCTTAATTAAATCCAAAAATTCTAAAATGAAAAGAAAACATGTTTAAGAAAGAGTGCATAAAGAAAATTATTCTTCAAAGATATGTGCAGTTATTATTATGTAAATTACCCAATTGTTTATGATTTCAGCCTTTACTATAATTTCTTATTTCTATTTCCTCATATGATAGAGTTACTGAGCCAAATTAAATTAAAGTTAAATTGTATAATCTTTGACCACTAGTCCACATTATTAGTTTGAATTTGACTGCTCGTTTAATTATGTCACCGTGAGCTGTAATTGATTTTTTTAGCATCAGAACATGCCTTTATGTTCTAAGTTCTTTTTAAATAAGAGGCTGCTTATTTCAACCTTTGTCTGATATTGTAGTTACTTTCAGACATAGCGATAATATGCTTCATGACTGTCGGGGGTGTTGACTTTTACCAGATCAAGTAAACCCTCATGGGTACATTATGCAGAGAATGACAAGTTAGGGTATAAAGTATGCGGAAACTAGTGAGAACATTGGTTTGCATATTGAGACAAATCTCTAATTGTTAGGTGTAGAGTTCCTCACTTTGTAAACGCTAAGTTACAGTTGAACGTGAAGAATCTTAAGAACTGATAAGCAAATAATTGCTTGAGTTCGTGCAACAAGAAACAACAAGATGGAAGGGTAAATAACCCTTTATTATTCAGATGAGATTAACCAGAACTCAGTCTTAGAGTGTACAATAAAAGCCGACATTTGGGCTTGAACGTTTGCAATGAGAGGCTAAGAAATAAACTAAAACTAATCTAAACTAAAGAGGTATAGCCAAAGCCATCAAGATTCTAACCGAGTTGGCCCCTAATGCTAATTAACTGCGAAGCTATCAAGGGCCTAAGTATGTCCGAGCGTATTAATAGTTTACGAGAGAGAAGCCTAAATAGGCAGACGCATGCAGACAGAATACCTAGTAACTCTCTCGCTAAGACCATCATTATGTATTTAGACGTGATTCTAAAACTACGTTCTAGCCGGAAGTAGTAAGTTGAAGTTAAGAATTTCAAAGGAAAGAAGATTAACTCAATATTTGTTCCTCCCCCCCCAATGGCAGATTATGAACAATTACAAACGTAACTCGGTCCATTAATCTATGCAAGGCCGGGTGTGGTGGTCTCTTCATTATGGAGGCACCTAATAGGTGAGCCACCATCGCCTTTCCTATGAAGGGACGGACAGTTATAACCATGCCTTCTCTTGGATTCGAACCCAGGCCTTTCGGCATTGCAGTCAGCTTTTCTGACCACTATACCGACTGGGCGGCTTAACTTGATATTTAACTGTTAATAAAATTAACATAATCCTTACATAGGAAAGATGCTTAAAGAGAAGGAAATCGATATAAACTAGCCAAAATGCCTGGGAAGGCTTCAATTTAAAATGACGAATAAATATTTTGTTGAATGTTGTTGTTACAAAACATAAATGTTTTATGTTTTGTAGCTTTTAATGTGTAATTATCCTAATTTCGTTTAAGAATCAGTGTCATAAATTGCATGTATTTTAAACTGTGAAATTTTATTATATTTTGATTTTAATAGGGCTTTTTTAACAAATATTGTTAAAAAAATAAAATTTAATAGTAGTCATGTAAATCCATAATGACCAAGGTTATCAAACTACCTAATTTAATTATTTATAACTAACTGCTTACCCTTAAAAATTATCTCTACATATTAAAGCGAGTTATTGCCTTTCATTAATACTCACTGTGGTCACAAGATAAAATACAAAAATGTTAAAATTCAGTAAAACTTATTCTTTGCATCTACTGAGACTTAAAATAATAAAAAACAACTTATCACCTCTGGTGCTGTAATGGCTTATTAAAAACTTAAAGTATATTAACTGGGTTACAACCCCTGGAACTCTACACGAAACTTCGACACTAACTGCATCAAGCAGAGCTTCACTAACTTTCAACACTTGCCAACTGTGCCTACATCAGGCCTTTCAGGTTTGTTTTAATCAGCAGGTCTGTCTCTAGCTAAGCAGCTGTGACAACATTCAGTCTTTTGTTATGAATCATGCTGATTATGATCTTACTTCTCATTTTAACCTATCTCGTTTGACATAAAATCTACCTGCTATTTACTAAACCTGACTGACCAAGTATGTGATAAAAGGAGACATACAAAAATCAATATAAAGCTAACTGTTAGTAAAACATAAATGTCACTTATCTTCTTTGAAATGTGACCAACAAGTGTAAAATACTGAATGCTACTTGATAAGTTGCATAAAGTTTATTAACTTATTAATAATTATGTTCGTTAATTCATGTTTAGTAATAATACCCACTTCCTAGAGATCTATTTTACTTTTAGGATGGTATTACAATGGTAAAAATTATTTTACTTTTAAGATGGTAAGTGAAATTCAGGCATAGATAGTATTTTTAATTGAATTTATTCAGTTCCCATTTGCTCATAGGTCCTTAATTTTTTTTCATTAATGGTCCTTAAAAGTACTTAATTTTCGTGTGCAGAAATGTGTACGAACCCTGAGGAAGTACTCACCATTTCTCTTTAATATTTCTCCAGTGATGATTCTCTCACTGTAGAGCAAGAAGGCATCTTTCTTTGATTTGAAGTTATTTCAGATTGTTTTTGTACTCTTTTGAATGTATACAGAATTTTATTTCTGAGTACATATTGCTACATGATGTTTCATTTATAAGGTAACACTAAATAAATAAATAATAGATAGATCTACATACATACATGTAATAAATATTGCAATCTGCAAAACTGAACCTAAGCTATTTACATATTTTAATTGTGCAAAGATTTATGGAACAAATTGCTTATATAAGTCAGGAGAATTACTCAGATTATGTCTTAAATATCATGCTTGTAAGTTCCAAGTATCACAACAGCATTCATGCTGTCAAAATATGTAATTAATTTACCATCTGATCCATAGCCAACTATGGAAGTATAACCTTGCACATATTTAATTCTGTAACTTTTGGCAAATTCTAACTTTTTTCCAGCAAGTTTTTGAAGTGAAAATGTATGCTGCACAGGCAAGCTTCAAATACAAAGCAGCCACCTAGGATGTCAGTTATTTTTAAAGCAAGAATTAAATTAAGGGTATATTTTGCTTTGCACTACAAAGCAAAATATCATCATCAGCTATGCCTACAGTGGGCCCAAAATCTTCAAGTCTGGACCAGTAGAAGGCAACTAACTGCCTGGTCGGATGATTCAGTTTCTTATTCATCACATCAATAGTTGTGTCAAGCTGCACCATCTTCCAGATGAACAGTTGCTCCTCCTTGTACAGTAGGTCATACACAGACTGGTGGCAACAATATTATGCTCATGGGGAAGGGCTCTGGGACCCTTAGCTGTGGTAGAGGAAACTGCGGACTATTTAAACATAACTGCGGATAAGTTGCATGGTTACATGGCATCTGTCTTCCCAGCTGGAAATGGAATCTTCCAGCAGGACAATCGAGCCTATGTCACGAGGCTCGAATTGTGGTTGAGTGGTTTGAGGAGCATAAGAATGAATTCTAACTAATGTCTTGTCCACTTAACTGATAGAGCACATTTGGGATGTCATGGAGTGGAAGGTCAGAGCTCAGGCACCAACCATGTTGAAATATCTTGACTTTATGTGACCGCCGCATAGACATTTGGAACAACTTGTCTCCAGTCATCTACCAAGAACTTGTGGCATCCAAGCCAAGGCAAAATGCATCTCTTTTGCAGGCAAAGGTCACACAATGCATTATTGAGTAGGTGGTGTCATAATGTTTTGGTTTTGCAGTGCATAATTAAAATGCAACTTTGGTAGTGTTCACCTACCAAGCGGTCAAGTGAATAAGACTATCAGATAGTAGTAGCTTAGCTTCTTAGTCTTTCATGGATTTCCTTGTGTGTAACATTAATACAAGTCAATTTTCTCGAGAAAGGTCCTCCAGGAAGAAGATGTCCTTCTAAACACTGAGAACCCTTAAGTGTTTTGCTATGACTAATTAACAGACCAATGACTATTACAGTGCAATCACAATTAACACTATTTCATTGTTTAACCTTCTCAGCATTACGTACAGAAAATTGGCTTTCGTATATATTACATGTGAAAATATCTGCCAGTATTTAATTTATCCGATTTTGGGTTGGTTGTGCGTTGGAAGGAAAGAAATCAAGGTAAAGTGAGAGAGTCTTTTTTTTTTTAATTATAATCAAGAAAACACAATTTATTTATGACATTTTGAGGAACTTTGAGGGCTAAACCTGTAACGCTCCCTTAAACAAGATAATCATAGTGGCTTGGCAATGAATTGTGAAGTCATTAGGTTTATTTCGGAGTAGGAAACAAAGCAAAAAATCTGCACCAGTATTTGAACTCCAGATAAGCTTTCAATTACGTATCATAAAACCACATATTAAGGAAGAAAATAATTCCTTATATTCTTCTCCCACTTAATGGGGAGAAGAGACAAAGTTTAATTATCGTTCCACATATTTTAATTCAGGCACTACTTGCAGAACGATTTAGAATTTTTTGAAGCCAAGAAACAATCAGTAATGCCTTCATTGAGATTCAAACTCCAGATCTCCTCATTTGGGCTAGCTGGATGTACATCCAATTATATACCAAAAAACTATGGGCAAAGAACGAAAAAATTCCTTACAGAATTACTGTACGAAACAGTACATATTTTGCCTTTCAGTATTGGAACACACAGAAAATAAAGCAAATATAGTATAAAAAATTTTCTACTTCCACGAAAGTTTTAAAATTATAATTTGAATTGATAAAAAATAATACTATGATCTCTATACTGCTAGCATGCTGCTTCGATGCAACTTATATCAATATTTGAAAATATAGCATACATTAAATAATAATGAAAAATATAACTGATGTATGATCTTCACATAGCATCAAAAAATGTAATGATTTAAATAATGTCTGCTTTTTTAAGGGTTTCAAAGACAGAATCTGTGCGGAGGTCACAGAGTGTTCACTTAAAATCAAAGAACCTCATGTAGCCTCTACAGCAGCTCACACTCTTTGGCAACGGTTGCAGTCGCAGATGAAGCCGCTTCAAATGAAAAGCAAGCAACTGCACTGAATGTTCAAAATGTGCTTTTCATTCTTTGAGAGATCTGTGTCATAGTGAATGTTATGTACTGTTTTTGTACAGTAAACTGATATTTCCGACTGTGCACTTCACATTTAAAATGCTAAAAATATATGTAGATAAAGAAAATAATCATTTTGTATATTACTTTTAAATATTTAATTCAACCATTCCATATTAATTTAAATGTGTTTGTATGAAACAGTAAATGCTGTTCATTTACTTTTGTGATATAATTAACAAAATCTTTATCTTTGATATCTCACATTTCTTATGTATTAGCTATATATTTTAAACTTTAAGTAATCATGTACATTAAATAATACCTCATAAAAACATGAAAAATATTATGAAAATCCTTTGTACTTTTTCAGAAGTAGTCATATTTTTATCCAAAATTTATATAAAAGGTGTTACTTAATGTTTAGTTTATATTTATACTGCACTTAAGTTTCACATATATTTGCAAACTAGAACAAACTAAAAAACCACATAATTTATTAATGATATACATATTTATTTATAACATCAGTCCGTCTACAGTATAAATTTCCACAGAAATTATCTTACAAATTTATTTTCTGAATTATTTTTCAATGAATTTTATCTCTACAAATAGAATTTAAAATTTAAAAAAAAAAAAAAAAGAATTTTTTTTTAACCTACTCAGAATAGTAAGAATTCCATTTTAAATTACCCAGTGAACGACTGGAATATCTCCATTTCAGGTGTCTTTTATATTCAATGGTGCATAGACTGTTTCACTAATGGGTTGCACAGACACGTGGAAGCTCATAATTTATAACTTAAAATATATTTGAGATAAAAATAACATTTTTGAGATCATATCAAAAAATTTTATTTGCTTCCATGTGTATTTTGTATATATACACATGAAAGCTGGTAATTTATATAACTTATAATATTATAAACATAATTTATAAACATATTTGAGAAGAAATAAATTCATGAGTAATTGATTGAAATTGTACATACAAATTCATCTCTAAATGTAGTTGTGTTTAGAAATGATTTGGAGAAACTAGTTAACTTGTAAATAAGTAAATTACAATATTTAAAGAAATAAGGCCATAAAACTAAAATCAGACTGGGTTCAATCCTTTTTTAAGTCATCATTAATTCTATTAATGTATAAAAGTAAACTATTGAGATCAGTTTCCATCATCAGTAAGTAGCATTGGCAATACAAGAATTTTATTGTATCATCTAATTTCTAGCACAAATTATGTCTGAAATAATATAGTAATATATGTGTACCCTATTTAATGCTTATTGTTGAATAAAGTACTTAAACAATACTTTTAGTTTATCTTTCATTGATTATTTTGGTTATATTTTTATGTTCTTTCCCATTTTGCTAGTGTAATACAGCAGACCACAGATAAATCGTGATTAGTTCTCTGAAGAGAGATTACAATTTCAGAGGAAAAATAGGTACAGTAAATTTCAGATAATCTGTGCACCTTCAGACTAACATATACATATGTAAGAAAATATTGCAGATTATAGGTAATCTCTGATCAGATTTTGTTTAATTTTTTTCATTAACTACACCCACTTTAATTTTTACATTAACCTCTTTCCGATGTCATGCAAACAAAGTTTCTCCATGTGCCCCTGGTCTTTGAGCACTGAACATCACTCTAATTTATAATTAAACCTAACATGTGAAACTAATTTCTATAAGACCTGATTTTTATCTAAATATTTGGATTTTTTCATGTTATTTAAATCTTATTTTTTGTTGCATAAGCAAAAAATTTTAATATTTAAAAGTAAAGATTATATTCTCATATTTAAATTATTTCTGTATAATAATGAAGTAAAAAACTTAAGAGTTTAAATATACTGACCTAAGAAAATTTTAAGCCACTTGTACTGCATGAAATGTTTCTAAACTATGAATCTGCATTGTTAGCATTGCCCATTTTATTTTCTCAGAATAAAATAATAAATAATATTCATCACAACAATACTAGCATTCTAGAGGTTCTATTCAGCGGGTTTTCGCAGCACTCTGACATGGCGTAATTTATGTGAATTTAAAATATAAAATAAAACATTCTGTTTCAGCATATCTTATATGATACAATGGATCATCAGTTACACTTCACTTCTGTCACATATTTGATATGGTGGGCGGGCCCAACTGAGCCAGAGGTTAAACTTCATTGCTTGCGAATACCTAACCACCATCATCAATTTAATCTGAAAAGATGGCATGCAGAAATTATACAATTAAAAATATGAAACCATAATTTATGAAATAGAGCAATTATGATCTAAAGGGTATCAAAATTTACAAAAAAAAAAAAAAAAAAAAAGGCTTAATATTTATTTGCTTACTTTATTAAACATTTCTTTCAATGTAAGTTGTTTAAGTTGCTTTGTTTTGTGTGCTAATACTCTCTCTGTAATTCTCTCTTCTATAAACAGTATCTCTTTTTTTACGCGCATGCATACTGGACACATGCATTAAAAAGGGGACTGAACACTGGGGTCCTGCGACATGCTGACCACTTGTCCAGGGCATATGCTTATGCACCCAGGGGCCCACAGTCAAGATAGCAGATATCGGGGCACTGTAGGCCATGGCCCAATAGGATTATTGCGCCACCGAGTTTAGTAAATATTATTAAAAGTATGAAAAATGTATTAAATTATTTCGCTCCTCAAATGGACAGAATTTAGACCTTATACATCTGACACATGCAAATTGTATTAAAAACAACTACTTTCAGTGTGATATTTTAAATTACACTATATAAACTTGCCACAATGCTAAACTACACATTTCTTCTTGATAATCACTTTTAAATTAATTCTCTTGGTCTTGAATTAGATTATTTAGTTGTTACGAAGCACAGAAGGGCCATTTGCCTTTAGGGAGAGATGCCTTTGTAAAGGCCTTAAGGGAAATTGGCCTACATTTATGGTACATATGAGAGAACCGCAAAAAGCCTTATGCAGTCAGCCCTTTCTGCTGCCAAGATTAGAGCTTGTGACATTAGTTATTAAGGACTGGAATTCATTGTCAAGAAATACAGAGTACGACAGTTATGTGGAAAACCAATTTCTTAATTATGAGAAAATATTTTATTAAATTTGAATCTCTTGAATTTACATTAAAACAGATAAGTGAAAAATAGGATAGACAAATTTGCACCAGTTTAAAACAGCTTATTTTACCACAGTGAAAATTTACAAAACAATCGTATTTCCATTAAGTACACTTTTACTTCAAAGGTCATATTAACCCCTTGCAAAATAGTACTAAACATTCATCCAACAGATCATGAAAATGTTTATTTAACAAAATAAAACCTATAGTTTGAAATGTGCTTTATGCCATCATAAATTTACTTCTGTTAAAGTATTTGATTACATAAATTTTGTTTTTATTTTCACACTCTAGACAAATTTATTATTTCATATTCATTCTTTTTGGTTTTAAGAGCCAAAATGTGGAAAATTTTCTCTTTATTACAAGTCTTTTTCTTGATCCTTCTAGAAATCTTATTTTTGATCAAATCTGACTACTGTTTAGTACACAAAATTTTCAGTAATCTGTTTCATTTGTGGAAAGACAATATTCTTATGAAATTTTTGCATTTGGATGATTAAACTTAATGAAATGATTATCATTAAAACTTAATGAAAATTCTACTACTTCTCAATATAGAATAAACAAATTCTTCATCAAATCGATTAAGTTTAACATAAGAAACATAAATAAAGATATATTCTGCTCATCATAAATTAAGCTGAAAGACTGATTTAATTTGTTGTAAAATAATGCAACTAATGGCATATTGATCTGACTCTTAGATGACCTGTATGTATATCTGACAGAAATGCCTTTCAATGACAGTAGATATATGTATAAGCTACACAAGCTGTAGCTCAAGGTCCCCCCAAAATAGTATAAATAGTATTAAAATATAACAGACTTATAAAGGCCCCATATCTCAAATAGCTTAGGACCTTATCAAGTCTAAATCTGGCTCTAAATATACAATTATTTAAAAATCACACAGAGCTGAAAGCATTTTATCCCTAATTTATCTTTGCGAGATGAATTACTAGCAGTTTATGACAAAACTACACTAAAGTTTACTTAATAGTTTTTTTTCCAAAAGTAATAATATTTATTGTAAAATATTCATTTAAAACATATTTCCTCCTTTGTATAACTAATTACTCATAATTACCATCTTAACTAATGTACTCTGGAATTTTGAAAACCTGTGAATGCCTCTAATTCATGCCCCTTCTCTGTGTAAACAAATGAAATATCTAAATACAGGAAATGCAACACAGAAAGCTTAAAAATTTTTTCTTATACAGTGGTGGCCAAAATTGTGGTCACTTTTGGAAATTTTTATGTTTTTGAACTTCGTATGCTTAAAGAAAACATTACGTTTCACAAAATGCAAACTTGTACAGTCAAAAGTCGTTAATCCGGACTCATCGGGACTTTGGCGATTCCGGATTATCGATTTTTCCGGATTATAGATCATCAGTTTAAATCTCGTAAGATGGCATGCAGAAATTCTAAAATTAAAAATATGAAACCATAATTTATGAAATAAAGAACAATTATGATCTAAAGGGTATCAAAATTTACAAAAAAAAAAAAAAAAAAAAAAAAAAAAAGAAAAAAAGCTTAATATTTATTTGTTTACTTTATTAAACATTTCTCATTTACAAGTTGTTTAAGTTGCTTCATTTTATATGATAATACTTTAATTCTATAAAAAGACATAATTTCTTGTTCAGTTACAAAGTTCCGCTGTTCAAGTCCCGTTAATTGCTGTGCCGAGAATACCGACTAATTTGTCAATCGAAATTTTTTCGTTTTCACTAACCTCTCTGTCACATTCTTCATGTCTTTATCCATTTTTTGCAGCAATTCCACTTTTTGTAGCAATTCCACTTTTTGTTTGTTGGACATCGAAACATACTTTCGTTTTGTAGATCCTTTGGAAGTTCCAGCATCGGAAATTCTATTTGACATAATCAAAAGTTCAAGTTTACTTTTATAAAATTGCTCTTACAGTCTGCAAAAAGTAATAAGCGGGATCCAATTCGAAGATTAAGGCACAACGCAATCATTAACATTAACTGAAATAGATAATTAGATAATTTTAGCGTTAATTAGATCACTTGCGCACATGCATATGCGCAGTAGTCAAGGTCTTACGCACACGCGTAAAACGCCTGTGCGCATGTGCCGACGCGGCGCATGCGCAGAAAGTTTTTAGCTTTGAGGTCCAGATTATAGATCATTCCGGATTATGCGTGTCCGAATTAACGACTTTTGACTGTATATATCATTTTAAAGAGAATTTATTACTGAATTCAATACAAAACACAAAACTCAATTATTTGCAATACAAAGAAAGTTAAACGATAATAGTTATTGATATACATTAGATAATGATGATTGCAGTGAGTTATCAGTACTTAGTAGGTTAAATTTTATTTTTGATTACAGCTTCACATCGCCGTTTCATGGAGCTGACAAGAGTTTTAAGCTCTTCTTTCGTTATTACATGATGCCAGGAAACAATTATAGCCTCAATTAGTTCCCTTTTATTTGATGGGCGCCTCATTCGAACAAGAGTTTTCAAACGGTGCCACAAATTTTCGATAGGATTGAGGTCAGGACTGTTTCCTGGCCATGACAACAATTAAATGCTCTTTGTACGAAACCACTCTTTCGATATTTTGGCCCTGTGGCAAGGAGCAGAATCCTGCTGAAAAATAAACGAAGCATTGTTGGGAAAGAAATCTCTGATGGAAGGTAGAAGTTTTGGTTCTAGAATAGTGTCAGTGTATTTTCTGGCATTCAGTGTCCCATTGATGACATGAAGGCGACCAATACCATCTGCTGACATGCATGACCAAATCATAACACTAACTGGGTTCTTCACAGTTGCTTGAATGCAGCCAGGATGTAGCTCTTCTCCTATTCTACGTCTTGCATATTTTCGCCCATCACTACCAAATAATGATATCCTAGTTTCATCACTCCATGTAACTTGTGACCACTGATCATCTGTCCAATTAATGTGTTCCTTTGTAGTCTTTTTTTTTTTTTTTTTTTTCCGTTGCTGAAAATTAAGATAAGGCTTTTTTCGTGGAATTTTACCTCTCTCAGTCCAAAATCTCTTAATATTCTCCTGATTGTTCTTGAACTGACAGAAATACCATCATTCAGATCACTTCTGATGATATTTTTCTATCTTGGAGACATAGTCTTTTTATTCTTCTGTCATCAATAGATGTAGTGCACCTTTTT